TGGGGCAGGACTGGCGGCAGGTGGCCTGATGGCCTGGGTGGTTTGCCTGCCGGGGAGGCTGGTGGGCAAGCCCTGCCTGGAAGCTCTTCTCTCCCACATTCTTCCTGCCACCCAGTTGTTAGAACACCTGGAGCCAGAGGAGGGGGCCCACCCGGTTTCCCAACCTGCCCCTCCAGAGCTGGGCTCCATTTCTGGAGGTGGAGAACTGGGCAAGGCTGGGCATCCTGTGCTCTTTGCTGGGGAAGAAAGGGCTGTGGCTGCTTTCCTTGTCCCCCATTTCCCTTCTGCCAGTGGGGTCAAGCCCCAGCAGCTCAGTCAGGAGAAGAGGATATGGATCTGTGTGGGCCTCTCTTTAAGAGAAATTTGATTCGTGCCTTCTGGATAGTCTTGTTCCAGGGTTTCTAAACTCTCTGATCCCACCTTCATGTTAACATGAATTTTGATCATGTGTCTCTTTAGTAATATGGACATTATAAAATAGGAAAAAAAATCTTTTAAAGCATAAGTAAGTAAAAATTTATTTTCACGTCAGGCACAGTGGCTCATGCCAGTAATCCCAGCACTTTTGGAGGCCAAAATGGGAGGATTGCTTGAGACTGGGAGTTGGAGACCAGTCTAGGCAATACAGTGAGACCTTGTCTCCACATTAAAAAAAAAAAAAAAAAAAAAAAATTGCTGGGCGCATTGGCTCATGCCTGTAATCCCAGCACTTTGGGACGCCAAGGCAGGTGGATCACCTGAGGTCAGGATTTCAAGACCAGCCTGGTCAGCATGGTGAAACCCCATCTCTACTAAAAGTACAAAAATTAGCTGGGCATGATGGCAGGTGCCTATAATCCCAGCTACTTGGGAGGCTGAGGCAGGAGAATCACTTGAACCCGGGAGGCAGAGGTTACAGTGAGCCGAGATCGTGCCATTGCACCCCAGCCTGGGTGACAGAGCAAAACTCCGTCTCCAAAAAAAAAAAAAATTAGCCAGTTGTGGTGTGTGTTTGTAATCCCAGGGAGGCTGAGATGGGAGGATCACTTGAGCTGTGGAGGTCAGGGTTGCAGTGAGCCAATGTAATCCAGCCCGGGCCACAGAGTGAGATTCTGCCTCAAAAACAAAACCGAAAATACATAATGAGTTAAAATCCTACAGTAAAGAGGCTACTGTTTTATTCTGGTTAAAATCTTAGGGTTTGTTCTATCAAACTTAAACTAGAATTTTTTTTTTTTTTTTTTTTTTTTTTTTTTTGAGATGGAGTCTCTCTGTTGCCCAGGCTGGAGTGCAGTGGCTCATTGCAATCTCTGCCTCCCGTGTTCAAGTGATTCTCCTGCCTCAGCCTCCCGAGTAGCTGGGATTACAGGTGCGTGCCACCACTCCCAGCTAATTTTTGTGTTTTCAGTAGATACAGGCTGGCCTCAAACTCCTGACCAGGTTGGTTGTTGGCCAGGCTGGTCTCAAACTCCTGACCTCAAGTGATCCACCCACCTCAGCTTCCCAAAGTGCTGGGATTACACGTGTGAGCCTCTGCCCAGCCAAGAAATTTATTTTTATTTTTATTTTTTATTTTTGAGACAGTCTTGCTTCGTCTGTTGCCCAGGCTGGAGTGCGGTGGCGTGATCTTGGCTCACTGCAACCTCCACCTCCTGGGCTCAAGCGATTCTCTTTCCTCAGCTTCCTGAGTAGCTAGGACTACAGACGGGCACCACCACACCTGGCTGCTTTTTGTATTTTTAGTAGAGATGGGGTTTTACCACGTTGGGGTTTTACCAGGCTGGTCTTGAACTCCTGACCTCAAGTGATCCACCCATCTCAGCCTCCCAAAGTACTGGGATTACAGGTTTGAGCCACTGTGCCCAGCTTATAAAGTATTATTATTTATTTATTTATTATTTTTTTGGACAGAATCTCACTCTGTCGCCCAGGCTGTAGTGCAGTGGCACGATCTCAGCTCACTGCAACCTCTGCCTCCTGGATTCAAGCAATTCTCCTCCCTCAGCCTCCTGAGTAGCTGGGATTACAGGCATGCACCACCACGCTCAGCTAATTTTTGTATTTTTTAGTAGAGACAGGGTTTCACCACATTGGCCAGGCTGGTCTCGAACCCATGAGCTGTGATCTGCCCTCTTCGGTCCCCCAAAGTGTTGGGATTACAGGCGTGAGCCACCGTGCCCGGCCTATAAATTATTTATTTTTTATTTTTTATTTATTTTTTTTATTTTTTTTATTTTTGAGACGGAGTCTCGCTTTGTCACCCAGGCTGGAGTGCAGTGGCGCAATCTCGGCTCACTGCAAGCTCCGCCTCCCGGGTTCACTCCATTCTCCTGCCTCAGCCTCCCGAGTAGCCGGGACTACAGGTGCCCGCCACTGCGCCCGGCTAATTTTTTTCTATTTTTTAGTAGAGACAGGGTTTCACCATGGTCTCGATCTCCTGACCTTGTGATCCGCCCGCCTCGGCCTCCCCAAGTGCTGGGATTACAGGCGTGAGCCACCGCGCCCGGCCTATAAATTATTTTTTAAGGCTGAAAGTTTCATAGGTAATTTTTAACCAGAGTCAAAAGTAGGATGGAGGGCAGTCTAGAAAGTAAAACTCCTTATGCTTTGTGAAAACACAGTTTTTTCCTGTATCCCTGCTCAGAGACCACCTCTGCCTCCCCGGCTGACTCCATGTGGGGGTCAAGGTTGAGGCCCCCTGGTCTAATGGGAGAGACAGTTGCAGTATGGGTGGAAGCAAAACTACTTAAGGGTTGTGATTTTTTTGTTTTGAGATGGAGTCTCCCTCTGTCGCCCAGGCTGGACTGCAGTGACATGATCTTGGCTCACTGCAACCTCCACCTCCTGGGTTCAAGTGATTCTCCTGCCTCAGCTTCTTGGAGTAGCTGGGACTACAGGCACTTGCTTCCATGCCCAGCTAATTTTTTTTTGTATTTTTAGTAGAGACGAGGTTTCACCATGTTGGCCAGGCTGGTCTCGAACTCTTGACCTTGTGCTTCACCCACTTTGGCCTCCCAAAGTGCTGGGATTACAGGCGTGAGCCACCTTGCCCGGCCCTGCGTTCTTCTCTTAATGATGTTTTGTGCACCCTAGTCTGTGTCACTGCAGGTACTCCCACCCACCACGTAAATGGGCGGGACGCGCTCTGTTTTCTGGATATGCTCTCATGTAGCTCACTAATCTCTTATTTTAGATTCTTTCTGATTCTTACTATGCTGAATGCCACAGTGAAAATTCTAAATTATAGTGTATGTCCTGCATTATTTCCTTAGGCGCCGCTGTACTTCAGCCTGGGTAACAGAGCAAGATCCTATCTCAAAAAAAAAAAAAAAAAAAAGCAAACATGCTTATGATAGTACATTTTAAAAACATAGAAGATCGGACAATTGGAAAAATCTCCATCAAAAATAATAAATAACTTAAAAATAGCAACCTTTTGGGTATATTACCGTCCAATACTGTTTTCTGTGTACTTTTTTTTTTTTGTCTCATTTTGCAGGAGTTGTAATGTATATGTAGTTTTGTACCCTGATCCTTTTTTATTTTTTTTGAGACAAGGTCTTGCCCTATTGCTCAGGCCGGAGTGCAGTGGCGCGATCTCAGCTCGCTGCAGCATCCACCTCTGGGACTTAAGGGATCCTCCTGCCTCAGCCTCCTGAGTAGGTGGGACCACAGGCGTGTGCCGCCATACCCTGCTCATTTTTATTAAAGATGCTCCCGCTTTCTGGGGTCCCACCTCGTCCTCTGGGATTGGGCTCTGGCTTCCCTGCCTACCCCAGTTGCCTGGTCTGACAGGAGAGAAGGACAGTTACAGTGTAGAGCGACACCAGAAAACATGCTGTATTGATTTGAGTTTGTTTTTTTTTCTTGTAGAGGTGGGGTCGCACTGTGTTGCCCAGGTTGTTCTCCATCTCCTGAGCTCGAGCAATCCACCTGCCTTGGCCTCCCAAATACCAGGATTACAGGCATGAGCCACCTCACTTGGCCATGATCCTTTTTCAACTTGATCATACAGCCGTTTGTAAATCTCATCATCTATGGCAATAACGTAACTGGCTCCTTGTCCCCCTGAGCATTCAAGTTGTCTGTAGGTAGGTTTTCATTATTGTGAATATGTTATGCCAAACTTTTTTTTTTTTTTTTTTTAGACAGAGTCTCACTCTGTCGTCAGGCTGGAGCAGTGCAGTGGCGCGATCTCGGCTCACTGCAACCTCCGTCTGCTTCCCAGGTTCAAGCGATTCTCCTGCCTCAGCCTCCCGAGTAGCTGGGACTTTAGGCATTCGCCACCACACCAGTTAATTTTTTGTATTTTTAGTAGAAGGGGTTTCACCATGTTGGCCAGGATGGCCTAGATCTCCTGACCTTGTGATCCTCCCACCTCGGCCTCCCAAAGTGCTTGGATTACAGGCGTGAACCACCATACCCGGCCTGTGCCAAACGCCTTTGCACACTAAAGCTTTCTCTGTATTTAGGGTTATTTCCTTAGAGTCATGGAAGTGGAATTGTTGCGCTACAAGACCTGTAAATACATTATAGAGCTTTTGATCAAAGTGATGAATTCTGCTTCAGAGGATAGTGCTTTCATTCTGACTGGTTAAAAAGGCTGCTTTCATTGTGAACTGCTGTCTCCAGCTTTCTTTGAGTGAAGACAAGCAAAGCGAGTGGGACACAGCTCAGGCGCAGAAGGTGAAGGCTGGGCTCTCCCCATGGTGGCTGCCAGCCCCCTGCAAGGGAGGTCATGAGTGTGGCGGGCAGCAGTGGGAAGCTGAGAGCTGCCACAGCTGGGAGATGACTCCCCAACCCCAGCCTCACCTCATGCTTGTCACTAAAAAGAGAGTGAGAGCAAAACTTGTGGCTATGATGCAGACAAGCCTGCCTTTTTCTCATGCAGATGTGATGTTTCCCCTGCAGGGAGGCAGTCAGAAACCAGCATATGCCCTTCTCTCTTCCCAGCCAGCAGCCCAGGAAGGGCAGGCACTTTGAAGGAGAGGCTCCTAACCCCCTTTCACGGACATTTGCAGGGAGTCAAGGTGGATGCGAGAGACCACAGTGGAGCCACAGCCCGGATGCTAGCCAAGCAGTACGGACACATGAAGATCGTGGCCTTGATGGACACTCACTCGCCCTCTCTGCCCAAGAGCCTCTATCGGAGCCCAGGTACCCACACCTGCCAGCCGTGCCCTGCTAGGGTCTCTGGTTGTCTTCAGCTTCAGGTGACCTGGCAGGGAAAGATGTCCCCCTCTTCCCCGGCTCCCACCTTCTCCTCTGAGATTTGGCTTTGCCTCCCCCAGCTGCTTCCATGTCAAGGTTGAGGCCGCTGCTCTAACAGAGCAGGAGAGAAGGATGGTTATGATGGAGAGTGGCACAAAACCAGGCTGTCGTGACTGTAGAGGCTTTCTGTAGTATGCTTGACTACCGAGTCGGGGCAGGCCCCCTTAGTTTTCTGTTTTCACTCTTTCCTGGGCTATGGCTTATTCGTTTTTCTGTATGAACTTGAATATCAACTTGTCTAGCTCCTTAAAAACAGCGTTGATATTTTTATTGAGATTGTGGCAGTGTATAAATGAACTGTGTCTTTGTGTTGTTGGGTTGGCCTGTCTAAGGACAAGGGCTGCTCCAGTGCACTTTTGGGTCTTGCAGGAGGGTTTTAAGTTTTTCTTCATCTATATTTTGCATATGACTAGTTTGTTCCTAAGTGTTTGATCATCTTTTTTCCTATTGCAATGGGGTTTTCCCTACCATTATATCCCTTTTTTTCCCCCAAATCTCAGGGTATTAATTATTCAGTGCTTTTTATTTTTTATTTCAGTAGGTTTTTGGGGAACAGGTGGTGGTTGGATATGTGAATAAGTTCTTTAGTGGTGTCATTATATCGTTTAACTGCATATTGTCAGTGCATGTGAAGGCAATGGATTTCTGCAAATTTTTTTTTTTTTTTTTGAAATGGGAGTTTCACTCTTGTTGCTCAGGCTGGAGTGCAGTGGTGCAATCTCGCCTCACCGCAGCCTCCGCCTTCCAGGTTCAAGCAATTCTCCTGCCTCAACCTCCAAAGTAGCTGGGATTACAGGCATGCATCGCCATGCGTGGCTAATTTTTTGTATTTTTAGTAGAGATGGGATTTCTCCATGTTGGTCAGGCTGGTCTCGAACTGGTGACCTCAGGTGATCCACCAGCCTCGGCCTTCCACGGTGCTGGGATTACAGGTGTGAGCCACTGCGCCCGGCCCTGCAAACTAATTTTATATTCTGCTACCTTACAGAATTCTTGTATTGTTCAGGTTAGTTTTGTTACTGATTCTTTAGGGCTTTACAGGTGTACTAACATATAATCTTTAAGTATCGATGAATACACTGCTTCCTGCTGATTCTTATGACTCTGACTTTGTTGAATTGCACTGTTCTTTGTTTAGTTGCTGACACCTCTAGCCCATTGTTCAGTATAGTGGAGATAGTGCGCCTCCTCACCTTGGTCCTGATCTTAGTGGAAACGCCTCATTATGTGAGAGGGAAGGCATATGTTATTTTAGCATATTAACAAAGTATTCATCAGTTCTTGTATTCTTGAGTGGTGTTTTACTGGAGTAACTATTGAATTTTGTTTCCATATCTTTGGAGATGACTGTGAATTTTCATATGGTAGCTTGTCTTCATGAACCTCCTAATAATGAATCAACTTTACATTCTTGGCATAAATCACACGTGTTGTATTATTTTAATGTGTTTTTGAATTCTGTTTATTAATATTTAGTATTTTTCTATGGATACTCAGTCATAAGTGATATTGGTCTATAGTTTTCTTTCTTCTTTTTTTTTGTTTTTGAAATGGAGTCTTGCTCTGTTGCCCAGGCTGGAGTGCAGTGGCAAGATCTCAGCTCACCACAACCTCTGCCTCCCAGGTTCAAGTGATTCTCCTGCCTCAGCCTCCCCGAGTAGATGGGATTACAGACATGTGCCATCACGCCCAGATAATTTTGTATTTTTAGTAGAGACGGGGTGTCTCCATGTTGGCCAGGCTGGTCTCAAACTCCCGACCTTAGGTGGTCTGCCCACCTGGGCCTGCCAAAGTGCTGGGATTATAGGCGTGAGCTACTGCCCCCGGCCAATTTTTTTCTCCTTTTAAAATATTCTGTTTCAGGGCCAGGTGCGGGGGCTCACGCCTGTAATCCCAGCACTTTGGGAGGCCGAGGCGGGTGGATCACCTGAGGTCGGGAGTTCGAGACCAGCCTGCTCAACATGCAGAAACCCCTTGTCTACTAAAAATACAAAATTAGCCGGGTGTGGTGGTGCGTGCCTGTAATGCCAGCTACTCGGGAGGCTGAGGCAGGAGAATCGCTTGAACCCGGGAGGCGGAGGTTGCGGTGAGCTGAGATTGCGCCATTGCACTCCAGCCTGGGCAACAAGAGCAAAACTCCACCTCAAAAAAAAAAAATTCTGTTTCAGGCTGGGTGCAGTGGCTCACGCCTGTAATCTCAGCACTTTGGGAGGCCGAGGCAGGCAGATCACTTGAGGTCAGGAGTTCAAGACCAGCCTGGCCAACATGGTGAAACCCCATCTCCACTAAAAATACAAAAATAAGCTGGTGTGGTGGTGTGCGCCAGCTACTCTGGAGGCTGAGATAGGAGAATCACTTGAACCCAGGAGAGGGAGATTGCAGTGAGCCAAAATCACGCCACTGCACTCCAGCTTGACGACAGAGCGAGACTCCATCTCAAAAAAAGTAAATAGATAAAATTAAACAAGATAAAATATTCCGTTTCAGTGGTTATTTTCTCCTGTTATTATTATTACTATTTTTTTAGCATGGAAAATACTGATTTATTTTTTGTGACAGGGTCTTCTTTGTCACCCAGGCTGGAGTTCAGTGACCCAGTCTCGACCCACTGCAACCTCTGCCTCCCAGGTGCAAAGCGATGCTTCCACCTCAGCTCCACGAGTAGCTAGGACTGTAGGTGCACTCTACCATGCCCAGCTTACGTTTGTATTTTTTGTAGAGAGGTAGTTTTGCCATGTTGAGCAGGCTGGTCTCAAGAGTCCTGAACTCAGGCAATCCACCCGCCTCAGCCTCCCAAAGTGCTGGGACTACAGGCATGAGCTACTGCACCTGACCTGGAAAGTAGTTATCTCATTTTTAATTGACACAAAATAACTCCATATTTATGGGGTACAGTGTGTGATGTTTTGATACATGTATACACTGTGTAATTATCAAATTAGGGTAATTAGTTTATCCATCACCTCAAATATTTATCATTTCTTTGAGGTGAGAACATTTCTGTCTTCTAGTAGCTGTTTTGAGGTATACACTGTTGTTCCGTATAATCACTCTACTGTGAACACCAGAACTTCTTTCTTCGATCTGTCATTTTATACCTATTGACCAGCCTCTCCCACTACCTCCCCAACCCCAACCTCTGATATCCACTCTTTTACTTGACACGCTTGACATGAGCTTTTAAAAATCCTGTAAATGGGTGAGATCATGTAGTCATGTAGTCTTGTTTGTTTGGTTGGTTTTTGAGACAGGGTCTCGTTCTGTCACCCAGGCTGGAGTGTGGTGGCATAATCTTGGCTCCTGTAGCCTCCAATTCCTAGGCTCAAGTGATCCTCCCATCTCAGCCTCCTGAATGGCCGGAACTGCAGGCACCTACCACCACACCTGACTAATTTTTTTTTGTAGAGACGGGGTCTTGCTATACTGACCAGGTTGGTTTGGAACTCCTGGGCTCAAGTGATCCTCTCACCTTGGCCTCCCAGAGTGTTGGGATTGCAAGTGTGAGTCACCACACTGGCTGGCATTTGTCTGTCTTTTCTGTCTGGTTTATTTTACTGAACATAGTCTCTCCCACGCTTATTCATGTTTCCACAAATGATCAGATTTCATTCTTTATGTCTGAATAATATTCCATTGTGTATATAAAGCCTTCTTTCTTCATTCATCCACTCATGGACTCGGTTGATTCTCTATCTAGGCGACTGTGAATAGTGCTGCAATAACAAGAGGGTGTAGACATCTCTTAGGTATACTGATTTTCTTTCTTTAGGATAAACAGTAGTGGAATTGCTGGATCTCATTTCTTATATTTTAAAAAATTTCTTATATTAAAAAAAATAGAGAGAGTGTCTCACTATGTTGCCCAGGCTGGTCTCAAACTCCTGGGCCCAAGTGATCCTCCCGCCTCAGCCTCCCACAGTGCTGAGATAGGCGTGAGCCACTGCGCCTGGCCTCACTTCTTATTTGAATATTTGTGTTTGTTCCTTTTTTCCTTTTTAAGTTAAATACTAGTACTTTGTTTAGTGGAAAAACAAGAAAAACCCATCGGATTTCGATTTATTATTGAGACTTACTGATGGTTTAATTTCTGCTTTTATTTTTCTTTGGCTTACTTTGTTGTTCTGGTTTTTTGAGTTGGAAATTTCTTTCATGTTCATTGTTTCCCTTTCGTTGCTAAATGTTAGAGGCTGTGAATTTTTGCTGATTGCTGCTTTAAGTGTATTCTGGGGGTTCTGTATTTAATACTTTCCTTATTATTTTTCAGAAATTCTATAATTTTTATTTATATTTTCTCCTTCACCCATGAGTTGTCTAATAGAAGTCTTGTGGTTGTTTTTGTTTGTTAATTTCTTGGTGGAGGGGCCTTTTTGATCTTGTGATTAATTTCTCATGTTATTCTGATCACCTTTATTCTAGTGTGTCTGATCAGGTAGTGTTTATAATTCTTACCTTGACAGAACTTCTTTGTCATCTTATTTATCACCTGCTGATCAATAGATATATATTTTTTCAGATGTAGTCTCACTCTGTCACCCAGGCTTGAGTGCCCAGGCGCAATTTCGGCTCACCACAACCTCCACCTCCCAGGTTCAAGCGACTCTCCTGGCTCAGTCTCCCGAGTAGTTGGGATTACAGGCGTCTGCCACCACGCCTGGCTGATTTTTTTTTTTTTTGTATTTTTAGTAGGACAGCGTTTCACCATGTTGGCCAGGTTGGTCTCGAAGTCCTGACCTCAAGTGATCTGCCCACCTCAGCCTCCCAAAGTGCTGGGATTATAGGCGTGAGCCACCGCGCCCAACCCTGATCAATATTTTTTAATGTTCTGTGTTTTGCTTGAGAAGAAGTTGTATTCTCTATTTTCTGTGTATACAATTTAGCGTATCTGTGAGTATCTTATTTAGGATTATGTACTTCTAGTTCATTTTCTACAAAATTACCTATTAGTGTGTTTCTGATTTATGAAGGAAGTTGGTGCATTTTTGGTGACAGATTTTCTTTTTTTTTTTTTTTTTTTTTTTTTTTAGACAGAGTCTAGCTCTGCCGCCCAGGCCGGAGTGCAGTGGCTGGATCTCAGCTCACTGCAAGCTCTGCCTCCCGGGTTTACGCCATTCTCCTGCCTCAGCCTCCGGAGTAGCTGGGACCACAGGCGCCCGCCACCTCGCCCGGCTAGTTTTTTGTATTTTTAGTAGAGACGGGGTTTCACCGTGTTAGCCAGGATGGTCTTGATCTCCTGACCTCGTGATCCGCCCGTCTCGTCCTCCCAAAGTGCTGGGATTACAGGCTTGAGCCACCGCGCCCGGCCTGGTGACAGATTTTCATAACTTGTAATAGATTCACTGTGAATTACGGCTTTCAGTATTAGAAATGTCCTTCTAGCCGGGCATGGCTCACGCCTGTAATCCCAGCACTTTGGGAGGCCAAGGCGGGCAGATCACCTGAGGTCAGGAGTTCGAGACCAGCCCAGCCAACATGGTGAAACCCTGTCTCTACTCGAAATGCAAAAATTAGCCAGGCATGGTGGCACATACCTGTAATCCCAGCTACTTGGGAGACTGAGGCAGGACAATCATTTGAACCCGGGAGGCGGTTACAATGAGCCGAGATTGTGCCACTGCACTCCAGCCTGGGTATAGAGGGAAACTGTGTCTCAAAAAAAAAAAAAAAAGTCCTTCTGTGTCATATTTACTGCGTTTTGCCCTGATTTCCACTTTGATAGCAGGATTGCAGCTCTGGCTTTTTTGTGGTTTCCATCTGCCTGTAATTCTTAAGCTGCTCTGAAGGTGTGTTAGGTGCTGAGATTCACGCAGCTGCCGTTCCCTTGCTTATTGCCACCTTTGTGCATTTATCTTACAGCTCCCTCCCCTTTAGCTTGGATGGAAGCACAGTCTCCCTGGGGTGCTGTAGATCTTTGAGTGTGAGGGGGTGTGTGTCCACATGGCTAGCTCAGTCGCCAGGGCGTGAGCCTCTTCATGGGGAAGGACAGAGTGGCCAAGTTCAGGGCCTGAGCTCTCCCTCTTTGCTGGCCTGCCCTGAATTATCCTGTCAGTTTGCACCTGAGTGAGCAGCTCCTTTCTCAGGGTCAGGCTCAGCCCAGCTCCTTCCCTGGTGTTGGGATTGTTTCATAGGAAACACAGCTCAGGTGGTAAAATGGTAACGCAGGGACCTCTGCCTTCATTTCCATCCCAGCTTACCAGCTCCACAAGGAGATCTCACACCATTTCCTCCTGCATCCAACTCACGTATCGTAAAAGTAGAATCGGATCAGAACCTTATACAAGTCAAATATGAAAAACTGAAAAGCTACAAAATAGTAAAAGCTCTGGGTTGAGCTCTGAAAGCTCAGAAAGCTCAGACTGGGCAGTGATTTGAAACACTTTATAATCATAGCAAACACATGCCATGTTTTAGAAAATACAGAATTGCGGCTGGGCACAGTAGCTCCTGCCTGTGATCCCAGCACTTGGGGAAGCCAACACGGGTGGATCACAAGGTCAGGAGATCAAGACCAGCCTGGCTAACATGGTGAAACTCCATCTTTACTAAAAATACAAAAACAAAACTAGCCGGGCATGGTGTCGGGCGCCTGTAGTCGCAGCTACTCAGGAGCCTGAGGCAGGAGAATGTTTTGAACCCGGGAGGTGGAGCTTGTAGTGAGCCGTGATCGTGCCATTGCACTCAAGCCTGGGCGATGGAGTGAGACTTCATCTCAAAAAAATAAAGAAAAAAAGAAAAAACAGAATTCCTTAATAAGTTGTTTGCAGCCAGGCACAGTGGTTTACGCCTATAATCCCAGCACTTTGGGAGGCTGAGGTGGGTGGATCACCTGAGGTCAGGAGTTCGAGACCAGCCTGACTAATATGATAAAACCCCATCTCTACTAAAGTGCAGAAATTAGCTGGGCACGGTGGTGCATGGCTGTAATCCCAGCTACTCGGGAGGCTGAGACAGGAGAAGCACTTGAACCCAGGAGGCAGAAGTTCCAGCCTGGGCAACAAGAGCAAAACTCCATCTCAAAAAAAAAAACAAGTTGCTTCCAAAGGAAGGGATCAGGAAAAAGAAGTTGTGACTGATATTACCATATATTTTAATGAAGAGATGGATTTTATTTATTCAAATTAGAACAAAATTTCTGATTATGAACAATATAGGCTTATGAACAATTTTGCAAACCTCCACAGAGATAAGAATGAAACTCCTGGCCAGGCGCGGTGGCTCACGCCTGTAATCCCAGCACTTTGGGAGGCCGAGGCAGGCAGATCACTTGAGGTCAGGAGTTGGAGACCAGCCTGGCCAACATGGCAAAAGCCTGTCTCTGCTTAAAGAAAAAAAAAAGAAAAAGCTGGGCATGGTGGCACGCACCTGTAATCCCAGCTACTTGGGAGGGTGAGGCATGAGAATCGCTTGAACCCAGGAGGCGGAGGTTGCAGTGAGTGAGCCAGGATCATGCCATTACGCTTCAGCTCAGGGGACAGAGACTGTGTCTCAAGAAAAGTGAAACTTCCCATCCTCACTAACTTAGCAGCTCCCTGTGGCCCATTGGAGCAGCGCCCCGGCCTGTTAGGGCATTTCCCAAAAGTGATGCCCTGGCAGATACCCTTCTCCTTAATTTAACAAAAGCAGCGACAGTTACTTTCTTTCAGTTTGCCATAAGGATTAGTAAATGAGTCCATCACTGAACAGACTATCTTAATCCTGGTGTTTGACCACAGAAAAGTACGAAGATCTGAGCTCCTCTGACGAGTCCTGCCCTGCTCCTCAGAGACAGAGGCCATGCCGGAAGAAGGGTGTCAGCATCCACGAGGGACCGCGAGCCCTGGCCAGGATCACAGGCATTGGCCTGGGCGGCAGAGTCCCACGGCCTCGCTATGGTGAGTGGCCCTCGTTTCCTGAGGGCTCTTTCTCACTGCATACCAAGATTCTGTGTTGGCGAGAATGGAATAGCTCTTAGGCTCCTGAAACATGGGTTGCTGGACCTCAGGTGGCAGCGGGACAGGTGGCCCAGCTTTCATGCTCAGGGAGACTCAGGATTGAGTCCACTGATGGAAATGCACTGGTCACGGACTAGCTCTTCTTTTTTGCTTAATCTCCTTGAGTTTCCTTTTCATTGGCTAAATTTAGGAATAGAACTTTCTCAGGCCGGGCGCGGTGGCTCAAGCCTGTAATCCCAGCACTTTGGGAGGCCGAGACGGGTGGATCACGAGGTCAGGAGACCGAGACCATCCTGGCTAACACGGTGAAACCCCGTCTCTACTAAAAAATGCAAAAAACTAGCTGGGCGAGGTGGTGGGCGCCTGTAGTCCCAGCTACTCGGGAGGCTGAGGCCGGAGAATGGCGTGAACCCGGGAGGCGGAGCTTGCAGTGAGCTGAGATCTGGCCACTGCGCTCCAGCCTGGGCCGCGACAGAGCGAGACTCCGTCTCAAAAAAAAAAAAAAAAAAAAAAGAAAGAAAAGAACTTTCTCTCCTGCAGCAGAAATGTAGCCCGCTGAGATTTCATTCATCACATAGGTGAAACCCTGTCTCTACAAAAATGTAGCTGGGCATGGTGGCAGGCGTCTATAATCCCAGCTACTCAGGAGGCTGAGGCAGGAGAATCGCTTGAACCCAGGAGGCGGAGGTTGCAATGAGTCAAGATCACACCACTGCACTCCAACCTGGCGACCGTGCAAGACTGTCTCAAAAAAAAAAAAAAAAAAAAAAACTGGGGGGCCAGGTGCAGTGGCTCATACCTGTAATCCCAGCACTCTGGGAGGCCGAGGCAGGAAGATTGCTTGGGCCCAGGAGTTGTGAGACCAGCCTGGGCAATGTAGCAAGACCCTATGTCTACAAAAATTTTTGAAGATTAGCTAGATATCATCCCCATGCCTGTAGCCCTAGCCCCAGCTACATGAGAGGCTGAGGTGGAAGGATTGTTTGAACCCAGGAGGTCAAAGCTGTAGTGAGCCATGATGGTGCCATTGCATTCCAGTCTATATAACAGAGCAAGACCCTGACTCAAAAAAATTTTAGGGGGCAATGATAAATAGCATGTGCTGCTTGTAAAAACTTCTCCATAACTAGGAAAATATGTAAAGAAGTAAGTTAGTTCCCCATGGTCCCACCAACTAGTCCTTTGGGTTCTTTTTTGAGACAGGGTTTCACTGTAGCCCAGGCTGTGGTGCAGTGGCACGATCATAGCTCACTGCAGGCTCCAATTCCTGAGCTCAAGCGATCCTCCTGTCTCAGCCTCCTGAGTAGCTGAGATTACAGACGTGTGCCACCGTGCCTGGTCAAGTCAGTCTTTTTATGTAAATAAAGGGGCAAAACTGGAGTGAAATTGCCTGGTATGCATGCCCCCCCCCTTTTTTTTTTTTTTGAGACGGAGTCTCGCTCTGTCGCCCAGGCTGGAGTGCAGTGGCCGGATCTCAGCTCACTGCAAGCTCTGCCTCCCGGGTTTACACCATTCTCCTCCCTCAGCCTCCTGAGTAGCTGGGACTACAGGCACCCGCCACCTCGCCCAGCTAGTTTTTTGTACTTTTTAGTAGAGATGGGGTTTCACCGTGTTAGCCAGGATAGTCTCGATCTCCTGACCTCATGATCCGCCCATCTTAGCCTCCCAAAGTGCTGGGATTACAGGCTTGAGTCACCGTGCCCAGCTTCATGCCCCTTTTTCTGCTTGGTTTTATAGGAAGGTAGAGTTAGGCAATTTCATATTATTGCTGTTAATTTTTAGCCGAAGGCCTTTTTCCTTCCTGCTCAGCCAGATCTCTTTTTCGCTGGGGTTGACTGACCCGAGGAGCCTGCTAAGAGCCTATGGTTAAAGGTCATAGGGACATAAAGACACCTGGTTGACGGGTGTCTGTGTGAGGTCATTAGATACCTCCTGCTAAAAGGAACACTAGTGGTATAGTTTTCTCTGGTCAGGCATCTGTAAATACAGCTTACCATTTCCTACGTTTTCCCTTTGAAAAAGAGGTTGCTCGGTACAAAGGAGAGGGCCCAGGCTTGACCTGGCTGCCAGCCCTGGCCCCACCACGCACTTGTCTGGGCCACTGACTGACCCTCAGAGCGACTTTTCCACCCATACATCACAGATAGAGCCATGCCAGGTCGCAGGGGCAAGTAGGTGAGGTCATGAGTGGGAAGTCGCCTGCCTGCATCCGGGGCCTTGGCCTCTGAGGCAGTGGGGGCATCTGGAACCAGGATCGGCTTCGCTTTGGAGTTCCCTGGGCTTATGGGCTCTATTCTGTACACAGAGCAGGCTCCTCCCCGGGGCTATGTCACCTTCAACAGTAGTGGTGAGAACCCCCTGGAAGAAGAGGGCCTCTGCTGCCGGGATGTCACCTCCCCCATCAACGAGCGGGACGTGGAGAGCAGCAGCAGCAGCAGCAGCCGGGGTATGCGCACCCCCACCCCTGTCCAGCCCGCGGCTCAGCCAGGTCCTGGAGCTCCTTTGTGCCCATCCCCACTTATCCCCTGGGCTTGGTGCTGGGACACAGCCCAGCCATCCAGCAGAGGACAGGCACAGGGGAGGCGTGGGCAGCCCTGGTTCTTGTGAGGAATGGGAGAAGCTTCTGTTCCAGCGTCCCCGTGAGCTTGGGGGAGCCACTCCACACCAACAGGTTTAGCTCCTTGCTTGGGAGCCCCCTGAGGCTTTCCGGACAGGCTCCAATAGGAATGTCCTGTTGTAACTGCACCTCCGTGCAGCAGCTGCTTACATAGTGCCCACCGTACGCCAAGCACTGCCTTGGGTGCTTGGGATTTATCAGTGAACAAAAAACAAGCCCTGCCCATCTGTATAGAGGGGAGGGTTTAGGACAGGCAGGAAGCTTGAAACATAAGGAATCAACCGCTGCAGGCCCCAAGGAGGGCCCTGGTGGAGGCGGCTCAGCCCGGGGCATGCCCATGCTCAGCACCGCGGTGAGGCCTGCAGGCGGACGCCCTGTCTTCCCGCCCTCAGAGGAACATGCTTTCTGTGCCAACCTGGAGCCTGTCCAGAGCAGCAGCAGCAGCGAGGGCCTGGCCAGAGCCCAGGGGCTCAGCAGCGAAGCTTCTGTGGAGAGCAACGAGGTGCGGATTCTTTCTCGTTCTCCCATAGCCGGTCCCTGGCTGGGATGCCTAACATCCCCCAGTTACTTTAAGATGAGCACGTCTGTAACAAGCGCGTGCTACACGTGTGTGCTGCACTGGGACGTGCTGTGTCCAGGGCCTGGCTTCTCAGATGACAGCGAATGCACTGGAAGCCCCTGTGTGGTGGGTGGGGGGTTTCACCAAGGCTCTCCAGTCAGTCCGTGCGCTCCTTCAGATACATGGCTCTCACCGCAGGACTCGGACCACGCCTGTAAAAGCTCAGCTCGCAAACAAGCTAAAAGTTACATGAAGACCAAGAATCCTGACAGCCAGTGGCCTCCCCGCACTGGGACTGACAGGGAAGACTTTCCCCTTGAGTCCAGCCCCCAGACTCAGAGGGCCCCCTACTCAGGACCCCAGGTAAGACCGCTTGTGAAACTGGAGGTTACACTCAGAGACGGCACTTTTTCTGACTTATGAGGCATGTGTTGTGTATATAACGTGCCAGGCTGCTTGGAGAACAGAATGGCAGTGTCGTCCCCATGGCCTGCTAGGCTCCGCAGGCTCACAGCCGGCTCCATGGCTGGCGGCCCAGCTGCAGGCCTTCTGCTTTGTTCGGAGGACCGGTCTCCCTGCTTTCCATACTGGAGCTGGCTTCCCTGAGCCTGGGGAGAAGAAACACACACCTGACCTCAGAGCTGCCTGCAGGAGTCTGGTGAGATGCGGCTGAAGCAGAGACAGGGACCACACACGGTGTGTGCTTGGTGGTGGTTACAACTGCCACCATCCTCATCCTTGCTGTGGTTCCTCTGACCACGCATTACCTTAGGGATGATAGGTGTGACTCAGCTCAGCTGTCTCACCTGTGTCTGCTGAGTTCTCCTACCCTGTGCAGGCAGAAGAGATACGGAGAACAGAGGTAGAGGGAAGCTCTGGTGGGTTATTTGTTTTTTTTTCTTTGAGATGGAGTCTCGCACTGTCATTGGGCTGGAGTGCAGTGGTGCGATCTCGGCTCACTACAACCTCCGCCTCCCGGGTTCAAGTGATTCTCCTGCCTCAGCCTCCCAAGTAGCTGGGATTACAGGCACGTGTCACCATGTCCGGCTAATTTTTTGTATTTTTAGTAGAGATGGGGTTTCACTGTGTTGGCCAGGCTGGTCTCAGGCTCCTGACCTTGTGATCTGCCTGCCTTGGCCTCTCAAAGTGCTGGGATTACATGCATGAGCCGCCACGCCCGGCCTGGCTGGTTATTTGTTAGGGCACCGGCTGTGCTGTTCAGTAGAGCCTTGCTATGCCGGCTTCTCCCTGCAGCCCCTGGCTCAGTGAGCAGGTGCACACCTCAGTCCCTCCAACATACACTGAGTGGAGTCTGGTCAGGGTAGTGTCCTAAGTGTGTTTCTTTCAGAAAACAGCTTGAGGAAAATGGCAAAGTAACATTCGTTTCTCCATTAAAAGCAATAAACTCTCAAAAGTAGGATTTCTGGAGTTGAAAAGTAAACTAAAATGATAATATCACTAGTCGGGCTCACAGCAGAATTGAGCAGGCAGAAGAATCAGAAAACTTGTGAACGCAGGTCACCTGAGATCATCTCGCTTGAGGAACAGAAAGAGTGAAAAAAATGAACAGAAACCGGTGACCCGCTGAAGCACGCTGACAGCGTCCACACAGTGGCATTCCAGAAGAAGAAAAAAGCAGAAACGACAGGGAAGACACAGCCTGACCATCTCAGGTGGATCAGAAACACGGATCTTACATCCAGGGAGCTCGGTGAACTCCAGACAGGTGAACTCGGAGAAGAGCTGCGCTTAGACAAGTGGAAATCAGAACATTGGACACTGAGACTAGAATTAGAGAACAGCGCTGTCTGTGTACAAAGCATTGTCCAGATCAGCAGCTCCATCGCCCCTTCACAGAACTCAGCACGTGAGGCAGGAGGCGGCCAGTTTCTCGTGATGAACATACAGTGTCCCCAGGTGGCCGACCATAGTGTGAGGACTCACCTGCCTGCTACGTCCTGCCCTGCCTGAGGCACCAGAGTAGGAAGGGACAGCCTGGGGGCTACACACAGGCCCGGTCTTGGTGCTAAGCCTGGGGAAGCGGTGGGGCTCCAAGCGGAGGAAAATGGCTCTGCTTTGTCATCAGCCACTACCTCCCCCAACCCGTCCCCTGTGCCTGCCAGGACCTGGCCACACTGCTGGAGCAGATTGGGTGTCTGAAGTACCTGCAGGTGTTTGAGGAGCAGGACGTGGACCTCCGCATCTTTCTGACCCTCACTGAGAGTGACCTGAAGGAAATCGGCATCACGTGCGTCCATCAGCCTGGGGTTGGGGCAAACTCCTGCTCATGTAAGCGCTCCTGGGAGGCTGAGGCACGTCCTGATCATGTTCCCCCTGCAGGCTGTTTGGCCCCAAGAGGAAAATGACGTCCGCCATTGCCCGCTGGCACAGCAGTGCCCGCCCGCCCGGGGACGCCCTGGAGCTGGCCTATGCCGACCGGCTGGAGGCTGAGATGCAGGAGCTCGCCATCCAGCTGCACAAGGTGAGTGGCTGTGGGTGGGGGATGGGGGGCAGGGCCACACCCCTGAGTTGGCCCCATCTCTGACAGAAAAGGTGGGCGCTGTGTGGAGGGGTCAGGTGGATGCAAGGGGAGAGGCCGCACACAGAGGACAGGGCCGTGGCCAGGGGTTTGGCTTGCCCGGCTACCTCCCAGCCTCCTGCCCCCCTGCAGCGCTGCGAGGAGGTAGAGGCCATGCGGGGCCAGGTGTGCCAGGAGCAGGAGCTGCGTGCCGTGGTGGAGAGCTGCCTGCTGGAGCAGGACCGTGCCCGCGAGGACCTCCAGGCCCAGCTGCAGGAGACGTGGACCCTGGCCCGGGACGCTGCCCTTGTCCTGGACCAGTTGCGGTGAGTGGCTCTGAGCTGGCCTGGGCTGGGTCTCCAGTGGTCAGCCGCCTGGCCCCTGGGCCCCCAGACATCCTTTCCTCCTGATTTTGTAACAGAGGTGGATTTCAGCGCCTGGAGCCACCCCCCCGCATTTCATCCAGGCCCTTCCTTCCTGCAGGCAGCAGTCGGGGTCGGGAATCTGCACCGCTCTCCCTCCTGCTCTTTAGCACAGCTTCGTGGGGCACTGGGCCAGCTCACGAAGGCCAGCTGCAGGGACAGGGCAGAGCCCCTCCCTCCCCTTGAAGGTCTGAGGTGGGGGCTCTGCGGCGGCCAGGCCTCTGCCCTCACCAGCACTTGTTCCTGTGTCTGGTAGAGCCTGTCAAGCTGAGCTGTCAGCCCGAGTGAGGCGGGACCATCCCCCTGGTGCAGCCACCCTGGGCCCAGGCCTCCCCCCAGCTGGTAAGAGCAGCGGCCTGACTCCGCACTGGACAGAGGAGAAAGCGGGGAGCCCTGAAGCGGGGTTTGACCCAGTGGGTTTGGCCTGGTTCTCCGGCCAGCAGCCACTCTCCCAGGTCCCTGTGTGCACATGATCCCAGAGTCCAAGGAGAGGGGGCCCTGGGCCCCCAAGCCCACTTCCTCACCTGTGACGGGAAAACCGCCTACCCCAGGGGTGGGAGGCACTGTGCCATGGCTGCCTGTGCTGTGCTGAGACTGCCAGTGACTTCTGCAGCCTCCAGCCAGGGCCCAGACCCGGGTCCCCACCAGCACAGCTTTGTCTTCTCTTGGGCTGACCCGGGCCTTGTAGTGTTTGCTTAGCCCGTGGGAGGAAGGGCACAACAGGGCTCCCCAGCCTCGGCCCTAGGAGGTCGCTTCGACATTGCCAGGCGGGTGGGGAGGCTCTGATCCAAGCAGCTTCTCCTGGTTGCATGGGCTCGGAATAAAGCAGGGCCTGTGGGGACACAGACCCACAGCTAACTCCATTCCTGCACCACAGACTCCAAGGGATGGCAAGTGTCCCTGCAGGCCATGAGCCTCCCCGAGCTCTCGGGAACCCTGGAGGACCGTGTCCATGAGCTGGGTGAGTCTCCAGGGACCAGACTTTGCTGAAGACTAAGAGCTTCCTGTTTCCGAGGGAGGCAGAGGGTCCCCTTTCCAGGGAAAGCAAGTTTGAGTCCCTCTACTCCGAGGCTGACCTCCGGGCTGGGGCCATGACGGCCAAGGGGCAGGTGACATCCTGCAGCTCAGAGCCCTGGGCAGCACTACCCAGTTCTGCTGAGCCTGGGAGGGAGAGGTTCAAGGTCATCGTTCCTCAGGGCAAGCACTGTGCTCAGTGACCCAGAGCCTGGAGAAGCTGCAGGTGCTGAACGGAAAGAAGTGGCGGGAGCCCTAGCCCGCGGGCCGGTGAGTGTCTGCCAGCCTGGATCCCACGTGGCGGGAGCAGCAGGGCCTGTCTGGGCAGCTGCAGGTGTGCGTACGCACCCACCTGTCCCCCTCCCTTCTTACCGGGGCTTTTTCTTTCAGAATCTGACGTTGGGTGATTGGTCCACCCTGAAGCTGTGTGCCAGGGAGTGAAGAGGACAGTAAGCAGGCAGCTGCCACGTGCAGCCCAGGCCCAGTGGGGGCCAGAGGATCAGGCCCCGGGAGCAGCCGGCAGACAGAGGCAAGATGGGCTGCAGCCCTGGCCGAGCAGCTCGGGCCAGCACTGAGGCGGGACGAGGGTCTCACTCAGAACCTGGTGGTGAGGCCCGGAGTTCATGGGCTGCCCTGGCCCAGACCAGGCAGGGCCCTGGGGGAAAAGTATATCCATACACACACACAGGTGCCAACTGAGGTGTGACCTTAGGGGTGAGGACTGGGGCGCCTGGAAAATGCCATTTGTTGGAAAATAAAATTGAAGAACAGCTAGTGAAGGGCTCAGTTCTGGTCACATGACATGAGTCCCTGGCCAGTGCAGCAACCGTGACTGCCCTGTCCCTTGCTGCTCGGGAGCGCCTTTGCTCCTGCAGCCCACGTGACTCAAACAAGGCTTCGAGAGCCAAGAACATCCCCAGCCCGCCGTAGGACAGGGCCTCCCCCGACATGTTGCCCTCACACCGAGCTCTGAGATGGCGCTGGGAACATCACCTCCCTCACCAGGCCAGGCATGGGCTGTGAACGTTTTCTGACGATGCCACTGGAGTCTTTCCAGATGTGAGGCTGTAGGAGACCACGAGGGATGGCTCTGCTGCTGCCCTTCTGCACAGTAAGCCTGCACTGCTACACCAGCCCCTAGAGCTGCTTGCAGATGGTGGTGTAGGGCGGGTTTGCAAAGCAGGTCAGCTCAGGTGCAGCCAGGGCCATCAGGATCAGGAAGGGGAGCCTGCCCTGAAGGTCTCAGCCCACATACCCCAACCTGGCTGATGGGACAGCGCTTATGCTGGGAGTGCCCCCAGTCAACACTGGGGACAAACATGCCTCTGGCTGGGGCAGCTTCTCCCTCCCCCTAGGGCAGGAGGCCTGAGCTGGCTCCATCCAGAACCGAAACACACAGAGTAGCTGAGAAACACACACAGCAGCTGAGGAGTGACTTTATTGTCTTCTCCTTCGACAGCTTCGTCGTACATAGCTGGGCCCCCGAGGCCCTGACTGTCCCTGGGAACCAAGCCACGTGGGGTGAAGCTACTTTGAAACCTCACCCACAGTTCACACGTGGTGAAAGAGAAAGAGAAAATCTAGCAAAGTAAATCCAACAACAACCCAAATTAACAGTATTAACTTCCTACCCCAAGTTGGCTCTCCCCCAGGCTCTGAGCTGGCTCAGGAAGGAGGCAGGAATGCTGACCTAGACGAGGCATCCTCCACCCACACATCCCGTCTTCCGAGTGGCCCTGGAGCTGTGCGCAGTCCCTGTGGGCCTCCACTAGCCGGGATGAGACACACACACAGGAGGGTCTGAGCCTGGGATGAACAAGAGCATCCTGAGGCTGGAGAGGCAGGCCCAGTGTGCCCAGACCACCCTGCTCTGCCTGAGAGGATGGGCTGGGTCCCAGCTGGCCTGGCCACCACCTAGTGACTGCTTGGGACAGTGGAGATGACAAGATGCCCCTTTGCCCTAGGCAGTCAGAAGTGGGGTACACACACACACTCTAGAAGCCACACTTGGCAGGAATTCCCAGTCTTCCGGCCCAGGGGAGGGTGCCAGCAGCCCAGGCAGCCCTCAGGACGAGGCTGGGAGCAACTTCTCCAGGGCCTTCTTCTGCTTCTCGGTGGCCGCAGCCAGGGCCTCAGCCAGCTTCTCCTCAGGCATCATGTTGAGCACCTTGAGGGCAAAGAGGAGCTGGCACTTAGCCGTGCTCACAAAGGCGTTGCTCAGGAAGTTGGGGAAGCCTCCGACTCGGTCCTTCTGGGTGTACAGCGGGACCCGCACGAGGCCCAGCACCTGCGCAGACAGGAGGTAGGGGTTGGGGCCAGGCCTGCCACGCAATGGCACCCCTGGCAGAAGGGGCCTGGAAGCTAGGAGGCCAGGGTACGAGCAGCCAGCTTTGCCAAGGACTTAATGGGAGACCCAGGCAGGACCTGGCAGAAGCCAACCAGCTCCCTTGGAGCAGTGCAGCCCCCTCCTCCCCAAGCAAGTGTGGAGGCTGACCCCATGCACTTCCCCCTCGTACCTAGGCCACCACCCGGGGTCCACACCCCATGCTTCCCGTCCACCCAACGAAGCCTGAACACCTGGAGTCCAACCCTTCCAAACCACAAAACACAAATCCCAAGAGCCTTCACGCCCCCCATGAGGTTCCCAAGTTTTACGACCCCCACTGTGCTCAAGTTTCCCAACTCCCCAAGCAAGCCCCGCTCCTCCCCCATCCCTTCCTCCCCACCGATCCCACTCCCCACTCCCAGGATTGGCAATGGCAGGCAGCAAGGCGGATGTAACACAGCCCTGAGGGAGCCCCAGCCCCGGCCCCCACCACCGCCCCTCCTTTCCCGGCCCCCCAGCCCCAGACCCCTCTCCCCACCCCATTGCTGGAGACAGCGACACCCGACCCAGCCCGGCCAGGGGACCCTCAGGAGACGTGTTACCCATCGGTGCCTTCCACGGGGCCAGAGCCAAACCCCGGGGCGGGGGGCGGGGCCCGGGCGGCGGCCCCACCTCCAGGCCGTGGTCGCGCGAGTGCACCGCGCTGATCTCCACGGCGTGCAGCTGCTCCAGCGTCAGCTGCCGCGCGTACAGGTGCGCCACGACGCGGTGTGGGCCCTCGGTCAGGTGAGAGCTCAGGTAGTCGGCCTCGGTGAGGCGCAGGCAGCCCAGGCCCAGGCCCAGCACCCGGTTCAGGCCGTCCTCCAGCGACCAGAAGCGCCGGTCCACGAAGCCCCCGGGGAAGCCCAGCAGCCCATCGAAACGCATCTGCATCTGCAAGAGAACACGGGTCAGAGCCTGGGGATCGTCGGACGCCCCCGCCCCGGCCCGCCCGCACCCGCGCCCGCTCCCGTCCTCACCAGCACCGAGAAGCGCATGGGGATGCGGCCGAAGAGCTGTCCAGGGTTGGCGGCGTACAGCATGGCGTGGCACGAGTGGCTCCAGCCCGGCCCCAGGCGCATCGCCTCCACCCGGCTGATCTGCTTCAGCTCTGGAACCGCCGCCGTCGACATCTTGGCACTGACCCCGTCCCCGTCGCTGCCACTTAAGAGCATGCGCGAGCCCGCCCCCGCCGCGCCTCACCAATCCGCGGGCGGCCGCACCCCCGGGTCCCGTTCCCCCGCCAATCGCCGGCGCGCCCCGGGACCGAGCCCCTCGCAGCGCCGCAGCGCGTCGTCGAGAGGTGCAGCGAGCGGTGTGCAAAAGAAGGCGGTGAGCGTCACCCAATAGTCGCACACCCCGGGCGGCGGCCCCGCCTCCGACGGGAGCGCCTAGTCGACTGTTTGGTGCCGTGGTGGCTCAAGGTTCACACTGTGGGCGACGAATATCCTCCTTGGCGCCCCAAAGCAGACAGCCAAAAATCCCTGCGGTTTCTCCACCCTCGATGGCGCCGATCCCCCTTGCGCTCACCCGTTTCTCCCCAGGAGGCGGGCCCCGCATGGCCCCGCGCATCCGCAATGGCGCCCTTGGCACGACCGAACCAGCCAGAAATGCCCCGGAGCCTTGCTCCGCCAGCGCCACAGGACCCGAGCCCGGAGGGCGACGGCCTTCGCCTGCCACGCACGACAGCAGTCCCGACCTAGCCACCCTGCTGGCCGGCTCGATCCAGAACAGCACAGGCAGTAGGGCCAGGCAGGGCTTGAGCGCCCCGGTCCCCGAGTCCACGCTGGGTCAGGGCGGACGACTGGGAGCTCTGGGGCTCTGTGGACCCAGCTTGCTGAGCAGAAAGTGACTTAAATTCCGGGGCTGGAGCTTTCCAGCATCCTCCATGCCAGACACCCCGTGCTTTTGGGGGAAGAGGGGCTTCCCCAATTTACGATGAGGAACTTGGAGCTCAGAGAGGGACAGAACTTGCCTAAGTACACCCAGCAGCTGGTGACAGAGACAGGATCCCGATTCCACAAGAGCCTGAGGTACTTACCTTGTGTTTGTACTGGAGATGTCTCAGGCTCAGAAACATCAGAAACAGCCCGAGAGCGAGCGAGGTCCGCTGAACTCCGTGATGGCAAGGCTCACCTCATCAGCAGCAGGGCCCAAGGCCACTTTCCTCCCCACCCGGGGAATGGATTTGCTAAGTACATGAACCACCCGCCTGCACTCACAGCATGGGTGCCCAGGGCTGGGGCACAGTCTCAGGAGAGCTGTGCAGTGAGGCCAACCTCACTGGCACAGAGAAGGCTGCCTTGAGTGGAGCCAAGCAGGAGAGGTAGGCAGAGGGTGGGCACTGGAAACTCACCTGTTAGGTGCATGGTGGTTTCAGATGTGTAGAATAAGAACCCAGAGAGGGCACCTCTGTCTCCTCCTATGGCCACCAGTGGGTCAGGGGCCACATGGGACAGCTGCAGGCAGCAGGGGAAGTCCAGATTCCAGGGTGAGCGACCATGTCAGAAGGCGAGAGGGCAGCAAGGGGAAGGGTCCTCCCACCCAAAGAGGGCCCCCACCCCTAGGCAGCCAAGCCCCGCCAGTGCCCAGGGCCTGTGGGATGCCGGCGCACGGCAGGGGAGGCTCCCCTTGTTCCAGCCCCTCCCCAAGACCAGACATGAAAAAAAGTGCTGTGTCTGTTGGGAGGTAGATGGGGAGCCGATCTGGCCCATGCACGCACCCGTCTGACACCCTGGGCACCCCTCTACCCACACTGGGATGGGGCCAGACCCAGGCGTGTCAGAGCAGCTGCAGGGTCCATGGGTGGCAGCCTTCCCAGGGCAGGGCCTGATGGGCCAGAACATGGGCTTCCCCTCCAGCCTCACAGTCTTCAGTCGAAGAAGGGTTATGGTGGCAGCTTGACCTGCGCCAAAGGAGTTGGGGCCTTGAGTGGTAGGTGGTGGTGTGGTGGGTGCCCTGGGGCACTGGCCACTCCCTGGGCCGGGGAGCAGGGGCTGGGCTCCAGCCTGCAAGCCCACAACCATGGGTGGCTAGACCTGCTCCCGCCGTCCAGGCTCCACACGCCAGCCACAGGGCTCTAGCACTGCTCCTCTGCTTGGAAACCTGTTCTTAAAACTCAACTCCCCCTTATAAAAACACTCCAGCAGTCCCGACAAGCTCTTCAGTATCTATCCAGCAGCCTTCACTCCAGCCAGGGGCTGTCCCCAGGGGACACACCAGGCTCACTCCTGCCACCTGGAACATTCTTCCAGGGCCAGCTCTTCCTCAGCCCTCAGGGCTGTTTAAGTCTCCTCAGAGAGGCCCTCCCTTCCGCCCGGTTAAGTGAGTCCTTGTACGGTTTCGTCTCACCACCACGCTCACTTTCTTCCTAATAGTAACCACACCTGGCAGGATTCTGATGAGCTGC